TTGTAATACGTATGATGCACGATCCTCGCAGTAGAGAGTGCTATTTATGCAATAGCGAAAATCAGACCTGAAAAAAATCAGGCCTGTACGGGATTCGAAGTATTTTAAATTTGACCCAACACCCACATGTTGGGTCAAATTAAATTATAAAATCATACACCTTAACGAGAGGAAATTTTTTTTTTTTTACGCAATTCCACAGACAACTAAAAAGAATTCTGTTTGCCAGCGCATTCTTGAATAACCTTATACACATGGGGATTAATTCCATAGGAGAACGCTACTCCTCTAAAGTAGCCAGTCAATATAAAAATGGATCGTAATACCTGAATGCCATGCATTCTTTTAAAATGATCTCCTGTCATGGTGAAAATTAAACTAAATCAATCTTTATCCCAAAGAACTTAATAACTAGGGTCTCTTGTTACCTTTCAGACCATCATTTTCAGAAATTATGAAATTTTATCCTTAAAGGTTGTGATTACCTATCTGGTGAACTCCAGCCTGAGTTGAGCTTTTAGCTCGTCGGGCAAGCTGAAATATTGTTGTGATTATATGACAAATTTCAAACCGGGCTGAAATATAAGCCTGAGCTTCACGTATGAAATTGTGCACATAGACTCACCAAAAAATCAAAATGGCTCCAGGGACCCAAATTATTAAAATGGATGCAATACTTTTCTTTGTCTTTGTATATCAGAGCCCTGGCTTCCTGAACAGCTTCACACTGCTTTACCTTGTCTGCAATGAAGTCACTGTTGTTAAATTCCATTTTAACTTTGAAATTAGTATGGCATTGATTAAGATACTTAATTTTAACACCCTTATTTCACTGGAATCTTGTCTTCATTGCAGCTATATTGTTTCCTAAAGAACAACCTTTTTGTGCATGGCCATATGCCGGGGCAAAAAATTCTAGTTCAGTTTCAGAAACCAGGCTGGAATTTTCAGCCTGGGCTGCAACCTTCTTCACAAAAGTGCCACTTTTATCTCAAGAGGATTTCCTTCTGAACTCAGGTTAAAAATTTCAACCTGGGCTGAAATTCACATGTACTCACCCCCTAACTCCGAGTGGTGATTAACATTTAACTTCTCCCTATAATATTCATACATCATCAGCAAACAGGTAATGAGAATACTCAAACTTATAAGGTAGAAGTTGTCACCTTGATCTAACACAATTCTTCTAACCAACTTGCAAGGAAATGAATAGCAGCAGGAGGGGAGAATTAACAATCAGATCTTGGGAGTTCAAGGTTGAAGAATGTTGGAATAACTTGACAGTCTGGATAAACACATGGAGAGAAATTTGCATTACCACAATTAGGACCTTGGTAAATGGAGGATACAAACTATTGACTTTGTAAATCTTTTTGCAATAGGTGCAAGTTATGCAGTAGATTACATTGGCAATGTAATCTATTGCATAACATGCACTTATTGCAAAAAGATTTACATTGGCGAAACAGGCAGAAGACTAGGTGACCAATTCCGAGAACACCTTCGTGACGTAGAAAGGAATGACAAGACAAGGACACATCAAAACTAGTCGCTAGACATTTTAATTTACCTAATCATTCTAAGCAACATCTGGCAATCTGCGGTCTTTCCTTACACTTAGGTCGCACGGAAAGCCATAAAACTCTTGAACAAAAGCTCATCTTTCAAACCGGCAGTCTGAATCCCACAGATATCAACAAATGCTTTTCATTCCACTAATTTATTCGTGTTTTTCTTGTTGCCATGTTCCCACCAATCACGTAGCTCCATTTTCTGCCTTTAAAAGCACACACAACCCACAATTCCTCTATTCTCTCCAATGAAGGGCTAATGCTCAAAACGTCAGCTTCTATAATTGTAACAGTGGCTAATTTACCATTTCAACTTTGTTGATATCAGTTCAAATTATTTCGTTACCCCCATCGACACAGCCCCAAATGGTTTCTTTAGAAACTATCAGCCTTTATTCATTTGTTCAACATGTTAATCAAAAGACTTGGATAGAACCGATGGCTATGTTCCACCCTCGCGCGTTTATATTGAGAAACTATTTAAGCATTTCACCGCTTAGGTATCTGAGTACGTCTTACTAGCTATCAAACAAGCAACAAGTTTATTCCTGGATTCTACAGTAAGACATTTTAAGTTTTAGTTTCCCTTCCACCCTAACCATAGGCAGTTTTGATTATTTACTTCTAATTAATGGACCGTTGTTTTAGTGTATCCGTCGAATACGTTCGATGAAATAGTCTAATGTGTTATGTACGTAGGATCAATAAATTTAATAAACTGCCTGGTTCCAAAATACGACACAAACAAGCCTGATCTCGGTTTGTTGTGGTGTTTAGGAATTTTTTCTCAAGACTTCCAGAAACGTTTAAGACGGTTCCGAATTTAATAAGCAAGAACAAAGAATACAGAGGAAAAAAGCATTACCTGGAGTATGACTCCAGCTAATTTTCTTTTCCAATATTTCAAAACAATTATAAAATAATGAGGCGAGTGTTCGAGTTCGACCACCTCGCATCCGTTTCGAGAGGAAGGTGGCTTCGATGTTACATGTTATGGAATATTTCATCACTTCGACCGTTCCTTGATTCACGTTTTGCATTGTATGAAATAGTCTTAGACCTTTTTAAGAGCTTGAGACTCATCTCATCGCCTTGTCATTAACGAGCGACGCCGAGTGCCGCACATGCATGGGCATAAGCAAGGTGGCTAGCACGAGGAAATTAACCTATTCTTATAAGAACGGAACCCAATTTATTTCCTAATTTCATCGTATTTACTTACGTTCCAATGAAAATTCCAGCTGATTACATGCTGTATGTTACTTCAAAATCCATAGGAATCGAACATGAAAACAGTTTTCCACCCAACATTCGAAACGTATCGTCGAACATTACAGTGATTCTGAGAAATGACGTGAGGGGTATCCCCCATCTCCTGTTTTCGCTTATTAAAAATGGAAATACAGGAACAGGACTGGAGTAAGTACTAGATTGAACAACGGAACTGACCAATTTCCCTCGACTCTTCGTTTTAGTTTACCTTTCAGTTTAGGCGTTTCGAAGCTCAAAACAGCCCAGTGACAGGATGCCGAAATTTAGCAGGAGTAACACTGATTCATGTTTGCATGTTGCATTAGTTTTGCCCAATCACCGCGTTAGATTTGAAACTAATAACGGTGGTGCTCAGAATATTGCCAACTGACTTCTACGTTGAAATGACCCCAAATTATTCAACCATTAGTTCAACGTGGACGTTGGCCTCTGTAAATCAGAACTTGAGAAGAAGGCGAAGATTGTACCGTCTTGACCAACTTTTCCTATCTCGGAGGATGGGCAGTAAGAAAAAGCAACCTGAAAAAATGACAGAAAAACTGCACTTAGTTTACAGACGCTTGGTCAGTTAATCAATAGGAATAAATAGTGTCCGTTTCATGTGCTCTTTTATCAACGAACACAATTTAATATTCATAAGTTTCAAGTGGAATATTTTCTTGGGATTTTCTGTCTCTTTACGAACTCAGAGATAAGGCGTTTGCAGCTCTTGGTGCGTGTGTTTTCTGTTGTTTTTGCTGTTTTTAATTGTTTATTTCTTTGTTTTCTTTCTTAATGTTGTAAATTTTTGAAGGTTTGGGACTTTATCGTGCCAGGATCATTATGTTTCCCTGCATGATCGTTCATTTACGGTTATTTCATACTAAAAATTGTCATTGCTTTTGAGAAACATTCCAGGACAGAAAGTGAGAATAATGGAATGGAGTCAGAAAAGACTCTTTAAAAAATAAATTATTAATTGCACAAACATTTCTTGTTGTTGTGAATAAGGGGTAAGTACGTAAAGCTTTGTTTAATCCTTTGTACCCCATCCCCATAACTAATTTAGTTCACCCGGCTTGAGCGCCTTCACGAAGGACTGAACCGCACGCTCCCACGCGCACTATAATCACGCCTGTCGTGGAAAGAGAAGAAACTAAATTTGCTTTCAAAAAGTCATGATCATTCGTGGAGGATTCATAAATTGTGACACCGTAGAAAACTGTTTTATCAGACCAAAACCTATGAAATATGATGAAATCTCGAATTTTATTTTTACGCCCGCGATACCTCCCAGCGGACATGCAAATAATCCTAGAATGTTTGTGACCCACTTGTGCTATACTATAGTGTACACTATATGACAGGGCTATTGAACTCACGGGACGGAAGTCATCGATCATGGATCCTTTTAATCTAGCAAACTTTGATATGGGAAAACGTTACATAGCGAAATATGGTTCAGTTGAATATTTAATCACTCAAGCCAAGAATGGAAATACTTCTGCCCAAGTTGATCTTGGTATTGCCTATGGTGTAGGTGTAAGAGATTTTGTGGAGAAGGACTCTGAGAAAGCTTTTGGATGGCTTAATGCTGCTGTAGAAAATGGTTGTACTTCACCTTCCATAATTGGAAAAGTTGCCGAATTACACGATCTGAAAGGCACAACACAACACCAGCTCAAGGCGTACGAGTTGTATCTAAAGGCAGCACTGTTGGGTTTCCCAAACTCACAGATCAATCTAGCTGAAATGTATCGATGTGGTGTTGAGGGAATAGTCAACGAAGATCTCAAAGAAGCGTTTAAATGGTACAAAATTGCAGCTGATGAATCGGTCCGCGATGTGAATACGGATTTGGAAGCTCTCGGTCTACTTCTTCCTGGGGCGATGAGCAATATGGGAAACACCTTTGGTGATGACAGGCAAAGAGCACTACGTTTCTTGTACAAGTGTTATCTTGAAGGTGATTGCCCCGAAGGGAAACCGCAGCCAACTAAAGCTGTTTACTATTTGACCAGAGCCGCAGAACTAGGAGATACATGGGCCCAACTGAATGTAGGGAAAATATATCTGAACGGAAGTTGTGAGCAGATTAAAGACTTCAAGAAGGCAAAACGGTGGCTTGAAAAAGCTTCTGCTAGCGGTCATGTCGAAGCTAAAGAGGTAGGTTTATTGATGGCTACTTGAATTTGGATATGTCCATACTCTGTTGTAATTCATATTTCCTGGAAGATTTGTAAGCAATTTAGTGTTGCAGTCTTTAAGCAGTACTTTAAGTAACATTACAATCATTTGTGGCATGCATTGAAAAACTGACTCAGCTTGTTACATTCACTTGTTAGTACACTGCATTTAGCTACGTTGAATGCTTAATGTGTTAACCGTTCACTATATTTATATTGTTAGCTTCTTCAGGAATGCCCCAGTGATGACAACACGAAGCATGACTCTTCAGAGGTGGCCACAGAAGCTTTTAAACAGTCATTTGACATCCTTGGTGAAAAATTTAGACAGAGAGCTGAGGCAAATAAGCACCCATTTGCAATTTTTAAACCTGTTGCTTTCTCAGAAAAAATGCTTCATCTCTATAATTGGTCCCCAACAGGAAGAGTTTACCTTCAAGCTTACAAACTGGTGAAAGAGGGCTTTGAAGTTCTGTGCAAAAGCAACTTCACTGATGAGAGGGGAATAACTCTCATTGCTCATGGATACTTGACTGAAAACTCTATACTTCAAGCATTTCCTCAGATCCAAAATCTCCTGTTACCCAAAATTCTTGAACTTTGCGAGGAAAGTTTAAACAAAAGTCCTTGCTTTTTTGAGGGACTTCATCTGTCATTTGCTTTGCGTGATTGTACAATGGGGAAACGTTCAAAAGAAAGTTGTGAAGATGATGTGAAGGCGATAATGTGTATAATGAACCTGATAAACTTTATTCAAAAGGCAGAACCCAACAGCCCTCCTTCTGAAGAACCATTTGAGTTTGATAAGAATTACAGCAGTTGGCTTCATGTTTTGTATTTCCAATTAGCAGCCATGTACACCATTTCGGATGCTACCAGACAAGCTGCTGAGGCTTTTGAGAACTCTCTCAAGTGCTGCCCATCCTTTCATGAAGCAAAAACAGGACTGGGATATTCATTGATGTTGCTCTACCTTTCAAAAAAAAGCTTTGAAAGAAAGGAAGCAAGCCACAAATTACCCAAAGTGTTGCTTAGAGTTAACAAAAAGCAACATAAAGACAGAGACATTTCCAAATATGACTCCTGGACTGCTGAAAAATTGAGAAACTCGGCAGTGAAGGTTTTAAAAGAGTATCTCACAGAGGCCCCACAGTGTCAGAAAAAATACCCAAATGCATGTTACTATCTTGCAAACATTCATTACGTAGAAGGAAACATCGAAGAATTCAGGAAGTATTTTGAACTGGGACAAGATGCTGAGGAAAAAAGACTTCCTTTCATGGCTGCTATTAACCTACCATTAAAGGATTTCATGGCACCTTTTTACCAGCATTTTCCTCATGTTAAAGAACGTGCAAGGTGTGGAAACAAGGCTTGCACCAAGAAAGTGAAAGAGATTGACTTAAAGTCTTGTGGTGGATGTAGCAAGCAAAAATACTGCAGCAAGTAAGTTTAACTTTTCAATATGATTTCTAGTTTCTAATTCCTCTAAATATAAATTGCTCCTTTTTCCCTTTGCACTCACTTCAAACTCTCTCTATCAGCAGAAATTCTTGCACAAAATAAAGGAGTACCTTTTGTAGCTACTTAACTTCTCACAAGTTTTTGAGGAGAGCTTATGTCCCCATACCTCCCCCCCCTTCCGGGGAAGGTGAAGCCTGTGGTGTCCCATTCTTTGCCAGAAAATAAGCTTGAGAGCCCTGTCAAGTTACCTGAAGCAATCATGTACTATGAAGTGAAATTACCGTCAAAATTTAAGACATACAGTTAAGATATTGAGACATTCTGTTATGATATTCAGACACGCCCTTATGAAATTGAGACATGCAGTTATGATCTTCAGACATGCAGTTATCACATTCAGACATGCAGTTATGACTTTGAGACATGCAGTTATGATATTCAGACATGCAGTTATGACATTGAGACATGCAGTTAACTG